AAATTGCCAGGGGAAGCATGGCGTCGGTGCGCACCCCCCCGTATTTTATTTTATTTTTTTCGATTTGTTTTTGATTTCCTCCCCCCCCGCCCCGGGGCCGGGGGTGCTGACCCCTGACCCCCGGGACCCCCGCCGGGGCCCCGGGCCCAGGGGTCAACAACCCTGGTTGTTGTTGTTGTTGTTGTTGTTGTTGTTGTTGTTGTTGTTGTTGTTTTTGTTTTTGTTTTTGTTGTTGTTGTTGTTGTGGTGGTGGTGGTGGTGGTGGTTGTGGTTGTTGTTGTTGTTGTTGTTGTTGTTGTTGTTGTTGTTGTTGTTGTTGTTGTTGTTGATATTGTCATCACCATTGTTGTTCTCTCCCGCCGTGCTGATGGCGATCATGGATGCGCAAACACCAATGCCATGGTCTCCACCCCCATCTTCGCTCCCTGCCCCGCTGCTGCCATAATCGCCGCCGCCGTCTTCATCGTCATCGTTGTTTTTGTTGTCGTTGTTGTTGTTGTTGATGTCCTCTCCCATCTCGTTCATCTCAGCCGTAGTCATCAGCCCTACCCCAGGCAAGAGGTCATTGTCGTTTCCCATCTCGTCCATCTCAGCCGTAGTCTTCAACCCCACCACAGGCAGGAGGTCGATGTCGTCTTTCTCTCCCATCTCAACCATGTTGTTGTTTCCGCCGTCTTTGTTGTTGTTGTTGTTGTTGTTGTTGTTGTTGTTGTTGTTGTTGTTGTCGCTGACGTCATTCTCTCCCATCTCCACCATCGAATCCATCAGCCCTACCTCCCCCCCCCACTCGCCCGCCTCATGAAGAGAAACATATTCCCTGTCATCAGTGGCCTGCTGTGGCTGAGGGTCATCGTCAGCAACAGGAGTTGTTATTGTCGTTGTCTTTACTGCAATCACTTTTGTGTATGCTGTTGACGTCGTCGGTGCTATTGCCGTTGACTGTTGACATCTGCCCCCACTCCACTTCCCACCCGCCTGCATCACCAAGGGTATATTCCCACTCGCCGCCCTGATAATCACTTTGAACTTCACACTCCTCACATACCGAATTAATGGTTGCAAAGTAGCCGATGACGTCTTCATCATCTTGCTCGCCAGTTTCGCAGCCGGCGATGTCTTCTTGATCGTGGTCATCATGACCGCTGACCCCATGATCACTTTCAAATTTACACTTCTCACATACCAAATTGATGGTTGCAAAGTAGCCGACGAAGTCTTCATCATCCTGCTCGCCAGTTTCGCAGCCTACGACGTCTTCTTGATCCTGCTCATCATGACCACTTACCTCATCCACGTAGACTGCGCAAAGATTTGCAAAGTAATTGACCACATCCACCTCATCTTGCTCATCATCCTCTCCAAGCCAGACGTCATCATCAGTATGAAAGGTTGTATCTCCATGTTGTATCTCCCTCACCAGCTCCATCTCAAACCCAGATAGCTTCGCCCCTATACGTGTCCTCATCATTCTCAGGGCTGGCGCTACCCCTGCCCGCGTGTCACGGTCCTTCACGACACCAACAACAGGTGCCACGTGGCCAATGAAGGAGCCACGTGCATCTGCCGGGCGCGCGCCACAGGCCCAGCAGCCGGGGAGCTCCTCTCCCCGGACACTAGTCTTGCCGGGAGGACCGGGCCTTGCCGGTGCGCTGGCAACAGGGCGCTAGCGCTAGCGTAGCCTCCTGACACTTTCACCTCGTTTTTGTGACTCTAAGGACCACAATTTGTGAGGCCTGTCAGACTGGATAGAAAATTGAAGTGGTCTCAAGCCACTGACTGTCGAAACTGACAAAATACACGGAAGATGGGTGTCCTTGAAACTGCAGTTCGAGGAGGAGTTCTACCTAGTTAATGTGTACGCGTCCAATGACCCCACACTCAGAGTTGACTTTTGGCTCTCCCTCCACTCGCAACTGCCGGACGACGCCCCAGTTATTCTAGCGGGAGACTTTAACACCGCACTTGACCCAACACTGGACCGTAGGTCTACGTCTCGACGTCAAGAGCTGACCTCCCCTGGTCCGGACGCCCTCATCCTTAAACAGATTATGGCAGACCGCCAACTCGAAGACGCATACCGACTGCTGCACCCGGCCCAAAAAGCCTACACTTGTCTGTCATCCACGGGTAACCAGGGTTTGGCCAACTCCAGAATAGACCTTACATTGGTGTCCAACGATCTCATGGGTCTAGTCACCACCGCAGAAATAACTCCTATCAGCCCGTGCAAGTCCTTTAATTAGAGGATGATAACACTGGGACTCTCATTCCACAACCATATCCAAAGAGGGCCTAGTTTCTACAAACTCAATACCTCTCTCCTCCCCCTACCTAAATTCAAAGAACTAGTTAAGGAATTTTGGCAATTCTGGCAAACCTAGAAACCCAAAGTGGAAGAGAAGGTAGACTGGTTCAACAAAGGGCTGGCACAACTGAGGGAGAGAGCCAATAAATTCTCTATCCAACATTCCAGGGACCGAAAAACTTGCCTGGAGAGTCTGATGCGAGAACTTGAAGAATGAGATGAAAAACTGATGAAAGATCCCACACACTGCCCCTCCTATCACAGATTACAAGAAGCCCGCGATCATCTCCAGCAGTACCTAGATCGACAGGCCCAGGCATGGAGAGTGCAGGCCAAGATTAAGAAAGACCACACTGATGGCACAATGGCAAAAACCTTTTTCAACAAGGCCAAAGCAAGATCGAGGGCAACTACTGTTCCCAGACTCAATCACCCGCTTGACAGCAATGCACCGCCGGCAACCAATGCATATACAATAGTGGAGTATGCTGCCAGGTACTACCAGCACCTTTTCACGTCTGAAACACCCCATAAGCACCCAGACGAGGTCCACCAAGCAAGAGATGCGTTGCTGCAGTCTATCCGGTCTCGCTTGACACAAGACCAAAACAACACTCTGGATAGGCCCATAACCTCTCAGGAGGTATGGGAGGCCCTGCAAGGTATGGAAGATGAGAAGACACCTGGGATCGACTCTTTCCCGAAAGAATTTTGGGTGCAGTTTTGGGACCTTTTTCGCCAGGACATCATGGACTTCATAACGGCGATACCAAAAGAGGGCTCCTTTGGGGGGATGATTGGCCAGAGTGTCACGACTCTCCTTTACAAAAAAGGAGACAGAGAGAATATAAGGAATTACAGACCTATCACCCTTCTCCCTGTCCCCTATAAACTAGTGGCCAAAGTCCTCACCAATAGACTGTTACCTTTCATGAACTTGCTCATCCACCCCGACCAAACGGGGTTCATGCCTAACCGCAACATCCAAGACAACGTTCTCCTGGTCAACGAGACGATCAAATATGCCCGCCAGAGGAAAGTCAAAGCGGCGATCCTCTTCATAGATTTTGAAAAGGCATATGATCATGTGGACTAGGACTTCCTCGATATGTGCCTGGTTAGGATGAACTTTGGTCCGGCCTTCCGCCAATGGGTGCACCTTCTACACAAATCAACCACAACTAACATAATGCTTAATGGTCACCTTTCATCGCCGATTTGCCTTCAGAGATCGGTGCGTCAGGGAGACCCCATTGCGCCATTGTTGTTTGTAATTGTTATGGAGGCCTTGGCATCGTTGATCCGATCTCATCCACAAATCAGCAAAATACCTATCCCAGACATACCCCAACACCTCATACCAGTGACATCGCTCTTTGCAGATGATCTCACCGTACTCATCCGTGCTGATCCGGCCAGCCTCCAAGCCCTCGCTCAAGTCATACACCTTTTCTCACTGGCGGCAGACATGAAGGTCAATTGGGGTTCCAAAACAGAGGGTTGGTGGCTCCACCCACAAGGAGACTCCCCCCCACCCGAACCTTGTGTTGCATGAGCCCGCAAAGAAGAAGCTATAAGGATTTTGGGTGTAAGACTTACAGCGGAAGGCCCCCCGCCTGATCATGGAGACATGCTGGTCAATGTGGCAGTGGAGAGACTGGCTAAATGGGAAGGTTTGCATACATTACTTGTCGGTCGCGCCTTGACAATAAATAGCGCCATCCTTGTAGCCATCTGGTACAAACTGGCAGTGTAGCCACTCAATAAACAGCAGTACACCAGATTGAAGAAGGTGCTCACAACTTACCTGTGGAAAAACAGTGTCAAAAATCAGCAAAGCCTCAACAGGGTGAAATGGGATGTGGTGACACAGCCTAGAGCTATGGGGGGGTTGGGGATCCTGGACCCTCATAGAGAAAGCGAGACACTCATCTTCAAGGTCCTTGTCAGGCTGTTAATGGGGAATGATATCCCTTGGGAACCGTTGACCTGCCTGCAAATTGCCAATCTTGCCCCACAATCACGGGTGCCCGGAATGGTACACCCATTCCAGTGGCTGACAAACAACCATTGGACCATACCATCGCCCCCCAAACAGGCCCATCCAGCGAACCCAGAACATGCAACAAAGCTCGACATTTCGGTCGACCCCCTTTGGCCCTACATGCTCAAACTCTGGAGGCAAAGAGGACCACAACAGAAACAACCCCCCAACAGATGGCATGATATATGGAGGCAACCTCTCTTCGGTAACCCGCACATCCTTCAAGAATCAGGAGACCCATTCCCCCTGACAACGAACTCTCTGTGGCTTAATTGGGCCAAGAAAGGACTGTTTACTGTAGGGGATTTGTGGGATCCGGTCACTGGGAACTGGTCAACCCCCGACCAGTTGAGAAACAAACTCAAGCACGTCAAACATATAGAAGAAAAAGTGGGTTTGCTAAGAGAGGCCCTCCCGCTCGCCTGGCGCTTAACCTTGCAAAGGGGTCCCACAGTCGAAAAAGATGACTGGGTAGTCAGATACTCTGATCTGCCCTCCCGGAGTGTCATATTTAAAGTTCTAAACAATATGGATGGCGAATGCGAGTTGGAAGCCTACGAACCAAATTTGCCTGGGGCTAGGTTTTCCAAACTAACAAAAAATGCCGACCGGGACTCCACACACGGGTGGGCAGCTCTGATGCATGTAAGGGTGGTTGGAGATCCGCAAAATGACCACGTCATATTTCAGCCAGCCACGCTTGTGGCCAAGCTCCCCTTTGATCCGGCCGAGTGGGAGTGGCCTGGTGCTCGGCCTATGCAAATATGGGAGTATACAGTCAAAGGCGGATATAGAGCATTGCGACAAGACCAGCAAATCAATGACACAATTGCAGACAGATGGGCACGGGACTCGCCACTCGATCTAAAACTGCAACAATCTTTCACCTGGTCGACAGTTGCCAAGATCATGCCAACAAACCACAGATCTTTACAGTGGCAGATCCTACACCGCTGCCTCCCCACCCCTGACTGGTTGGTCTCCAGAACAAACCTGGAACAGAAAGGGGAGCTGTCTCCCATCTGTGCATATTGCACAAGGTCTCAGACGCCGGCACGAGCGACCCTCGAGCACTGCCTGTTGGCATGCCCGATGCTCACCCAATTGTGGCAGTGGTGGGACGCGGCATTCCACTCCCTGACAGCATATCATATCCCCTGGGACGTTCGCCTTCTGCTCCTGGGAGGCAAATGCCAGCTGCAGGCTCACTGGTCTCCGTTCGCAACCAACCTGTTTTCCTACACACGGCTGCACATCCTCATGCAGGCATGGAGAGCCAGATGCTCCTTTGAAAGAAAAGAGCATCAATTTGGCCTGCAGCAAGCACAACAAGCTATCGAGGAGCAGATCAGAACAAGGACTCGAGAAGCATGGCAGCAGATGAAAACTGACCTTCTCGAGGAAAAAGACCCCACAGTTAAGCAAGCAATCTGTGACTCCTATACACAGATTTGGCAGGACCCAAACAGAATATTCTCGGAGTTGGACGCCGGCCTCAACATCATTTGGAAACCATGGAGGAACACAGAACCAAGATGGCAAAGGAGACCCTTCTCCGAATTCCAAGTCCCTTACCTTCAACCCAACTTTGTCCTCCTCACACCTCCACAGCAGTAACACCACCCCCCCCCCCCCCCCAGCCCCTCCCCTCCCACCCCCTCCTATCCCCTCCCTCTTCCCCATCTTCCCCTCCCCTCTGCCTTTCCCCTTCTCCCCCTTGCCTTCCTCCCCTCTCTCTCCTCCAACTGCCTGCCGGGGACAATGGGAACAGTGAGGGAGAAGCGGGGACAATCGTGGAATACCGGTCTCTGGGAGACGCAAACGCATGCTGCAATGAACCGGGACCCGAGAGAAGGACATACGTTGGACTGAAGACAACTGCTGCGGTCGGAGAGACCTCAGGGTTCAAGGTCTGAGTGGAAAGGAAGGCACCTATTAGAACTGCAGTACGGAAAGATAATGTTTTGCTGTTCTTAAGGCAGACTGGACCAGCTTTTCCAACAGGTGTTGTTCCCCAGGTGGTCTACTCCTCATCTCTGACGGTCCTCCTACCACCGTTCGGAGCTGGGTAAAAAGCCCCGCAAATGGGCCTGAAATGCATAGCCTCTGTGCTAGGTATCAGTTAATTGTAGC